GCAGTTTGGAAATTTTCTGGGAGCGGCATTGACTTGTTGGACGAAATGTCCTTCTTTACTATTTTCCACTCGCCTTTGCCAAAACAAAACCACGGGAGTTTGAAGGTTTATATCAAAATAGTATAAGTATAACTATATCGATACCAATTAATACAAAACTGCCAAATGATTATATTATAAAAAGCACTTGAAGTTACCACAAACCTATTAATTCCGCTGGCTTATTCGGCCTCTTGTTTATAAAGTTTTCAAAACTATCCTGCAAACAATTGCATTAAATCAAATACCCAGCACAATAAAGAATATTTAAATAAATAATGTAATAAATTAATGTTGTAAACAAATGAGTCTATATAGACAAGGAGGTGAATGAATACCGTGTGGAATGGCACGCAGAATAGCATGCGAAATAACTGCATCCTCGTTCCCAGGGCTTCACGGCAGCGCAGGCAACCGTGAAGCCCCAGGTATGGAATGACTGCGGAAATTGTTAGGGTTACTAGGTTAGGGTTACGATTCTCATCTCATTTCATCAAGTGACCCAAGTTCTGAAAGATTCGCATAACTTAGAGCCTTAAATGGCAACCGAAACCCCTTTGACATACATGTTGAAAAAGTGTCCGCCACTGGGATTAGGGTTAAAAAATGTCTCGAAATTCAACTCAATTTGAACAAGATTAAACACTCCAGAAGGAATAAAGATATTTTTTAAAAAGACTACTGTGTGGTCAAATGAAATTAAAAACCTTACTTTCATTGAATTCACAAATTTCTCGTGTTTCACAAAGGCCTGTGTTATAATGTTATCCAATTTTTCTTTAAAGTCGAGTAATTCCTGAACCATTGTCCTGTCTTTTTCAGGATCCACTGTCACAACAATTTCCAAACCGCATCTCTAAATGAAAAATTACATCATATTTAACTACATATTGAGCAAAGCATAATACTGCAAACTCCTGATGCCTGTTCTTCCCCCCAACACCCCCTGGAGGCCAAGAAATACAGTATTCCTCTTCCTGGCGATAGAACCCTCCGAAGAAAATTCCCTGTGTATACTACTGTAAATGTAAAACGTCCTGCATTTGTAGGTTTCAGAGAACGTGCGATGCCACTCATGATGGTAAATTATGATTTCAAAACATGACAATGTCGATTTGCAAAATGGATTTAACATTTTTAACAAGCAATTATATGGCAGTCTAATATACAAGAGAATTTCATGCACAGATATTTTGTTAAAAATTTCCTGCCGGACATTTTCCAGCACTTTCACGTTTGAAAGAGTGGCTTATTGGAGAGGGGGACTTATGACTCTCCACTATCAGGTACTTTATAATAAATGGAACTGGAATCAACCATGCAGCAATCACTACACGTGTGTTGCTTTGCATTGAGATGGGGGGTAACACATTTCTTTCAAGGGGGGAGGGGGGAGGCTCATTAGAGAGATGGCTTAAGAGGGGGCTTACGAGAGGATTTATATGGTGGGGGTGCCTTGCGTATAACCATCAGGCATTTAGCCAGGAAGCCGTCCAACAATCCTATTAAACTTTTAACAGCCACTTCTTAATAGACGGCTTCTGTATATAGATGACCTAAGCAAATATTTTCTGTACTTTCGCCGTTGTATACGTCTTGATACTTTTCTTGTCGAAATCACATTGAAACGCGAGTACTTTTTGTTCTTAGTTGAATTCAACATATAAAGTATCAAGAAATTTGAAACTGCAGTTGTTCGCTCACGTCCATGCATGAAAGGTACGGGAAATTATACAGTAAATTTCGTCATCCTGGCTAAAAGTAACCATTATGCGAAAATGTTAAGAAGCGAAGAGAGCTTTGGGAGAAATCGATCTGCGGGACGTGTTTTGCAACATGACAATTTCTTCTGCCTTACCTTTATGTAGTTACTAAATGCAACACACAGGTCGTCGAGGCCTTTACGTATCCGCATAAAAAGTTGGTATGTTAAAGTTAAATATTCAATCCTGTTCGCGTCCATTAACTTTTCGAAGCCTGAAGTTAAAGAAAAACGCAAACACGAATTAACAATAGAGCTGCGTCTCTCGAAGCACTACACTTTATGGTTCACGATACCACACTGTACATAGCACGGGTAGCGTACACATATAGGTGAGATCACCCAGGTTTAAATTAGCCTGCTATAGCAGCAGGATTTTTAACATCGCGAATTTCATTCGGTGAATCTAATCAATATATATATATACGTGTTGTTTTCCACAAACAAAACTTATATCATACTGTCGCCATAGAAAACTACAAAGAACAAACTAACGCACACATGCATGTGCCTTCACTTGTATTTTTCAGGTAGTTGAATCCATCTGCATTTCTCTGGTGTTTTTGTTACTACCTGCGCTGGCACAGATTATTCGAGTTGTGTAGCATACTTTAGCACTTTCCATAAAGAAATTAGTATACGTGTACACCGAAGTACCTTTTTGTAATATGCTTTGCGAATGTTTCCCAAGCAACTGTTTTTCTACACAAGTAATTAGCTGTTTCCTGCAAAAAATATCAACACAATTTTTTTTGTATTATTATCCACCCAAAATTAGCTTGATTGACTATATTCAAGTGGGCGATGAGTATATTATATCAGAACATTTTAATTCTTCTTCATGCAACGTTATAGAGAAACCAAATGGGGGGGATGATGAATCCCAACAAGTTTATATACCGGCATTGACGTCTTATTTCGTCATATCGTCAATATTTCTGACCAATTTCAGTACAGTTGACAACATTTCAAGCACATTATTTTGAAAAATACAAAGTGACTTTTTAACAGGCTAACAAGGGTATATATAGTTACCGTTATGCTCCCCCCACTGGAGGTGGAATAAAGTCAGGGTTGGGAGGAAGAGGTGAAGAAGGGAAATGAGGAAAGACGAAAAAGGGAGAAAAAGAAAGGAAAATAAGCTCAAAATTAATGGTAATAGGACTTTCAAAAGGTTGAAATTTTCTGGTTTATTTTCCTTCCAAACAAAGAATTTGTTCCCCTGTTTGCAAAATTTTCACCATAAAAATGCAGGAAATGGCCGGGGACTCACTGTACAAAATTATACCCCCCCCCCCTTCTACAACTCATAGCTGTACAGAACCGACAATTAACTAAACAGTTGGCCTCAGCTTTGCCATTGGTCAAAGGGTATCAGTCTTCAGGTATCCCTTTTTTCCTGCAGAGGGAAGCAAGTGATCTTTTCAACTTTGGGGGTGGGGAAAAAGTAACTCCAATGGCAACTTTATACACTCCTGCATACTAGCATAATTTTAGTGGGATAAACCACAAAGACTGGTGTCCAAGAAGGCTCTACTAATATAGTATGTGTCATTACAAAATTCATTAATGTGAAATGAAAGTCATATGCGATGAATAAAAACTGTTATTATACATTTATGTTTGTCCAATTATAATTATACATTTATATTTGTCGAAAAGTGGCGACAAATGACGCATCCTTTACGTGAAACAAACTTGTTAGAAAAGGATTTTGTGCATTATACAAAAAGTACGAGTGTTGAACACTCAATTAAAATTTTAATCATAACTAGGAAAATAATACTGACTCACCTTGTTGAGTGATCTAGATAATGAAGCAAGCGATCATTTTCTTCCTGAAGTCTTCTTTGTACATGCTCAAGATATTCTGGCACCTGCGCGAAAATATAAGTAACTGTACAATTATAGAATATAGGCATGGTTCTCTAGAAGCAAAGGGCTGAAATAATTCGATACAAGGGTTCCAAATCAATATAGGCAATATTATAGTTGGTAATGTTCAATTTTATAACCCTTGGTACAGTATGTGGAATAATAACAATTATTATATACCAAGTGTGAAAGTTCATGTTTTCGTAAATCTCATTGGACGAGAGCGTATCACGTGAAAGTCACGAAATTCTCCTGGCAAAAGCTTTGACACTTGGTATACAATCTCGTACACACGTAAAAATCTCACAACTTGTCAACAAGATGTGTTCGCAACAGGCTTGTAGCAAGCTCGTCAACAAGTTGTAACAATGCTGTTAAATTATCAAGTTGCCACAAGGTTGTCACTCACAACTTGTTGACAAATTGTTGAATTGCAGGACGATAACAAGTTGTTGGAACAACTTGTAACAAGTCTGTTGAGCTCAACAACCTTGTAGCAAGTTGTTAACAAGCCGTTGACAACTTGCCAACAAGCCGGGAACAAGCAGTGCGAACACATCCTGTTGACAAGTTGTTGGAACAGCATTGCTACAAGTCTGCTGCAAGTTTGTTACAACTTGTGCGTTTTTACGTGTGTAGCTCTTGGTACAATATTACATGGTATGTAATAAAATACTTATTGACTGGGACTTTCGGGAAACAGTATGTTTTGTGGACCTGGACTGCCAATGTTTCCCTCGGCTTTACATCGGTTGCGATATTAACAGTAACACTATTTTGCCAACTTTTCAACATACGATTTCACAGTCTCTCAAAATTTTAGTTAGAGCATTCCTGCCATTCCAATATAACGTCCTATTGTTCCAACCCGCAAGCGCCTGCATAATCCTATTTTTGTCGAGGCAAATTTGAGGGACATCTTATTGTTTTCTTAGCAACAACAATACACGGAATTTCAGTTCTAGTGTACTTTTCATTCAACTTACATCAGTCTCCTGCATAAGTCTATCTCCCTCAGCAGCGTAAATAATTTCCGTTGCTTTGATAAATTTCTTTTCAAATGAAGTATCATACATCTATAACAGAGGTTAATACTAATATCATCCAAATGGATACTAGTAACAATTGCCAAGTTTAACTCTTTAATTGTGCGCATATTGCTTACTTTTAACGCCGTCCGCACATATGTAAGACTGAACAATGCTGGACAATATAGTTAACAACCAGGAACAATATGGGCAGCAAAATATTGTCCAGGCCTGTTTTTTCAACAACATTGTTGCAGGCTGGGCGTTTTTTGCAGTGAATACGAGATGCATACCTGCAAATCTGCCAACATACGCAACAAACTTTTCAGTAATGTTCTGTCCACAGCTTCACCATTTCTAAATAAAGAATCGTCAATAAATAATCGCTCTATACTGAAAATAATCGTTATATTAAAATCTGAGTCATAACATTAAACATATGGGGCCTAATCTTCGGTTTTGTCCGGCAGATTGTCGTAAAATGGTGCGTGGGCAGACATAGAGTCGCCATCACCGCAATAATTACATTCGTTTTCATTCATGTACAGATACAGTGACGCAGAACACGCTGGGAATAAAGTCAATTTCTAGACGAAAAAAACAATACAAAAAAAAAAAAAAAAAAAACGGGGGGAAACCTATACTTCGGCTACGTACAGTACTACGTAGGCGAAGTAACAAACTGGACGACAAAATCTAATTGCATGCGACCCAACCTGATGAAGTGCCCCTCCCCCATAAGCGCCGCCAAGATGTTGCACGGGGCCTGAGGCAAAACTTTCCCAGGGGCTCCTATGACGTCAGAAGTGGTGCTTTACTTAACAATTATTCGCCGAAGGCGAGGTGATTATCGGTGAATAAAAACCGAGACGAAGTCGAAGTTTTTATTCACGATAATCACCGAGCCTGAGGTGAATAATTGTTTTAGTATAATTTCATAGGTGATTATTTAGAAAAAAATTTAAAAATACACATTTCTTCGTCATTTAATTGACAAAACGGCTTCGGCCGCCATTTTGAGAATCGCTTAGGTGATTATCGCGTAATAATCACCTCAACAGCAGCCAATCAGCGCGGAGAATTTTGAATAATCACCTATGTAATTATACTAAAATAGATTAAGCATTATTGCATTGTATCCAGCGCTGAACCAGCTAGGATTTATATTCTCGGTTAAGCAATTTTAAGTCTGAACAGTATATTGTTGCGCTGGAGGCCCGGGAAATACTGTATGCCCCCTGCCCCCCCCCCCCTCGGCGGCCCCGTCCCTATGTACTACTTCCCCAAGTATGGAACAAGTACAAGTACATGGTTTGGGTTGGGTTGGATATTTCAGTAAAAAGCAACCCTAAATTATCTTCAATGTATTACAGTATATGACAAACCAAGTGTACCTTTCTTTTTCTATCAAGGATAACAATCCTTCGATTGTTCTTTCCTCCACAATACTATTGTCAACAATATGAATGCGAAAAAGTTGAAGTCCCAAGTCCCTGAAAAGAAATAAAAAATATGTTTTTTCATGCACATTGCTTACATATACGTTTATAAAATTACACGCGGGAAAATCACACGCGTTACTGAGGACCCTGCCAGCCGCGCGAAGAGTACCATACAGGAAATTAAGAAAGAATTTGCAGCTCGTGTTGATAAATAACCGAATTGAAACACAATCCAAACTATATAATATAGTTAAAAACATGCACAACGCTACTCATAAAGATAATTAATATTCACAAATAGCACATAAAGTTCTGAAATCGAAGTTCTCAAAGCTAAAGAATTACCATTCTTTAGATACCAAATACAGTACCTCTCCGCATTCGCCAAACTAATTTGGACTACCAAAAATATTAAAAAACAAGCACCGAGTACGCAAACATGCATGAATTAGTATTTAGCATATATCTAAACAAAATACGTTCATTCAAATCCTGCGTTTCGCTGTTCGATTCTATAAAAAGTCAAGCATTAGGTGACACACATATGACGTATACAGGGGTATAGACATTGTAAATCATTAATACTTCATGACCATAAATATAGTCAACCATACTGCTTCAGTTTACTCACGATGACGATACTGGGTACTTGGTGAAGTCCTACAGTTGAATTGTCATGATTTATTGGAATTTGTGGGACCTACATTTTACGGTGATTGAGGGAGGCATCCTTCTAAAAAATATGCACCTTTTCAAACAGATGGGCTTACATTCACCCTTGGATCAATATTAATTCACTACAATTTGCCTCGAATTTGAAATACTGCATGTATTACTTACCATATCGATATGATAGATGGATTTTGCAACACGTAAGTGCGGTCCAAGTACAGAAATATGCTCCTTATCATTATCTACAAGAGAAATGCATTTCCAATATCATATCGAGTTTTCGTTTTCAATAAGTTATGGTTAGCGGACCATTTACAAGGTAATAATCGTGAAAGTGGTGGATGAAATGTTTGTAAAGAATATCCCCTTATCGGCAAATAGTAAGTTAGTAGTGGTGAGGCTGGATGGGGGGGGGGGGGTTAAGCTTTCTAAGGGTACCTTATGACTCGTGTCTGATCACCGTAGAAGTTTTACCAACCCACCCTGTCAACATCCCTATGCATGGAGAAAACTGGAATACCCAGAGAAAACCATGGTGGGCAGACACAGTCTAACCCTCCCCCCGGGGCAATAATTGACAAGAAGTATACCAATGCAACTGATCACCAACAATGTAAACAAGCAAACCGAAGCCACTTAATTAACTGCTGATACATGCAGGTATACATAGATAAGCAACGCAGATTAGGAAATTAAGGTGCAAGGAACCCTTAGTTATCCATTTTATCCTCCCTCATGCCGCAGCCGCAATGCTACCACTAACCATGCTTCGATGTAGATTAAATACTTACCATTTGCTGACAATGATCCTCCCAGCAATGATTTAGTCTCGTCAGATAGAGGTAGCTATCCAGGGATTCAGTATGAATACGTTAAAGAAAATCATGATCAAGATAATTGCCTGAAGATACTGAAGCTGATTAAATACAGTATTCCAACGGATACAGTATTTAAATCTAGATCGTTCATATTTTTTCTAAACCTTTTGTACCAACGGGTACTTCATTCCAAAACGACTTAACTTGTCAAAGAGAAAGTCCACGCCATAAAGGCGACTTAGAAACATTGATACTGTGTCTCAATTAACCAATTATCTATATTCTGTTATCTAGTCTATATTCTTTCCCGGATAGCACCCGACAATTTTAATCGCCAAAGGTACATAGCAATAACAGGATGCGATAATTCGCGTTTCAGCCACGGCCACGTAGGTAGGCGGAACTCTCGCTATTTGCGTACTTGCATTTTGCTCGTAACATATGACCCAATAAATTCAAACCGTAATTAAGCCTGTATTTGGGCACGTCTGCATGACATGTCTTGGCATGATAAATAATTGGACTGATGCGACTAAGCCTAAGGAATGAGTTGATTCTAGTGTTTGTGTATGCAGTTGTCGTCCTTCTTGTTCTAACTCGTGGTTTCAGGTTACAGAAAGAATACCTTTCAGAAACCTGTATTTTATGTACTTCATTTTAAAGACTAAGTGTACCTTGAGTACCATATTTCATGACTACCATATAACTACTAAATTATGTTATTATTTTATTTCAATTTGAACTGGAATTTGCTGGATGTCCGTAAGGATTTTGCAAGTAAATTATGTAGATGTAGATGAGTCTTGTACCAGTTCAAGTACACGGCAATAATCATTGGCGTACCAGTCAGGTACGACTAACAATCTTGAATTGTCGCACCCTGGGCCAATCAGACAAACCATTCTCGTTCTTTTAGTCTCGTTCGTTTACTTGTTCTGGCAAATGTACAGTCGCTGTACTTATAAGGAACATCAGTCACCTGAAGATTTGATTTAGGGTAAAACCATAGATATCTTATATACACTAGATAGCGCATCTCTTTTAGTAAAATTGAAGCCAAGAATATTCCAGCGGTTACCCCCATTTGAATAGATGGCGGCCATGTTGGTCGTTCCCACTTGCTAATAAACGCTTAAAAACAACAATAACTTTCATCATTTGAATAGTTTAAAAACGTATTTGGAATAGGGTTAACTTAATGTTTAAGTTCCCTTTTTAAGAAATAGAAAAGATACGAATCTTCTCATCTCATGGGAACGACCTGAGACTGCAATCACGGCTTCAATTTTTGAATTGCAGAATAATTAGATGCACTATCTAGTGTATATAAGATATCTATGGGTAAAACCGACGGTCTTGAAACTTCGACCTGTAACCTATAGAATCCTAGCAGAACGCTCTTCCATTTCGGCTACCAGAGATACGGTGGGCCCAGTAATGAAACTTAGCAAGTACAAGTTGCTGGTGTTAACAGTCAAAGTCACTAATGAAAGTTAGCAAGTACAAGTTGCTAGTGTCAAAGTCACTAATCAGTGATCTTGTATAGGCACTTGCGGATCCCGCATCTATAATAGTTATAGGTGCTGTGTGACAGATTCCGTTGTCAGTTTTGATTAGAACTGATATTCAATGGTCTCTCCATTGTGAGTTAAGTCACCTTAACAAGCATTAGATTTTAGTGTGTTAGAGAGTAACATATGAGGTACTTGACATGACCATGTTACCTAATGTTTCGGTTTGTGGAAACTCCACGTAAATTTATTATTGCAAAGCTTTTCATCAGTTTTTCCCCATCTACAAATTATATTATCGCCATGCAAACCTTCAATGATTAATTAAAGAAACACATCAAAAATTCTTAGAAACAATATGTTGAAAGGATATCCAGTAAACTGTGATAATCTCGATTTTACGTGTTGCTCACATTCACCCTTCAATTCATTGTAGAGAACTGATGACATTTTATGTGAACACATGTTTTCAACAGCCTTGTACAAATCTTCCAGACTTGACGAGATGGAGGTTTTATTTTGAATAGCACAAACAGCTTCTCTTAGTTTACCCCATGTTGTGTCTTTGAAATTGTCTGGTAGCTTGGGCTTGGCTGCAATACAATGAAGATTAATATAACTGTACATGAAAACATTTCTCAATACACCCTTTCAATTTTTTACGTCATCAATCACTCCATGACCCTGGAGTGTCATTCTCATGAGTGGTGAAGGAATTATTGTCTTCCGTCTTGATTCATGAGAGCGAGGCTCCCAGGCCAAGTACTTACAGTAAGTATTCATGGCACAGGCCAAGGAGGTATGTATTCATGACATAGCCTAGACCTAAACATGTTCCCCACTTTGATTAAAAACCGCGTTCTCACATCGGAAGATCCAAATGAAACCTGAGCTACTGTAGGGTTTGACAGTTGACAACGGTTATTTTAAGTTTCATCCTTTGCTAAAATTCCAGCCCGCTTTGACCCAGACTGAAACTCAACTCAGTCCGGCCAGCAATCGCAACTAATTTTAATTTTAAATGGCTTTGTTTTGTGTGTTTGTTTCAACGGTATATGTAACCACAGCCTCACACATAAGTATTTCAGCCAGCGGTTTGACTACACGGGTTGAAAATAGCTCTGACTAAAACTCAGCCAGCTCAAACTGGCCATGAATATTCCTGGCCACATCTAAATAGTGATCAATACATATCTTGTAGCACACTCGCTACAGTTTTCCATTGTTGGCTGGTATTGTTTTTTTATGCATGATTATAAGCATTTACAATTAGTCCAAATACTAGTGACCGAACCATATAAAAACGATACTACAAACTAAACACGCATATCACCGACATAGGTAATATTAAACAGTCGCTCGCATACGATTGTCGAGTTAAGATAGAAAATGCTCTGCAAAACGTGAAAATTATAGAATGTTTTTCACATTTTTTTCCACTAGAAAATTGGACTCATGCTTTTCACAAACAGTCTTAAATGAATTTTAATGACTTTAATTGTCTAAAATTATGGAAGTGTGATATTTTTACCCTCACCCTTAATCCTTATCAGAAAGAAATTTAAAAGCCTATAAACTATATTTAATACCAAGCAATAATTTGCATGGTTTTTGGTTTTGAAACATCTTCGTCTCTGTGTACATGTAATATTATACTTGTAAAGAAAGTGGAACCCGCACGCTACATACAGTATACCTTTTTCCTTAAAGATAGGTAATAGCCTATTCAATAGCCTATTCAACACATGATCAGTGATATCATTGCGACCCATTAGCGAAATGTACTTCGCCTGACGGAATTAGTTTTGTCTCGGAGTATCAATGGTCACATACATGTATGTGATATGTAGGTTATTTTGATACAAGATTCATGATTTGTGATTCAGGTTATTTTAATTGATGTTCACTTTGTCATTCTACAATCTACACTCTTCGGCGGCTGTTCAACTAGTTTGGAGTGTCGCTAAATTAAGTCACCTGTCCTCGAATAACATGACAGGAAAATATTTCTTGAGGTTTTAATCCCCTCTTGATCAAGTGATTTGCTCCATAGCTCTCAGTGTAAACACAAAATGTGAAAGGGATGCTAATTAATCGGTATGATTTCCAACAAATTCCGAGTGTACCCGTAATGCATTCAAGGGGTTCTGGAATGCATTCGGGTAAAAGTGAAATGCAAATGGAACACAAATGGAATGCGTTTTCTGTTTGGTTATTTCTGAGCAGTACTGTATAATCTAGAAAATAATGTAGATTTTAGTTGAATCGTGCATGGTGACTTATTTCAATACATCTAAATAATCCCGCCTCACATCTCATCCTGGCAAAGCGGGATCAATCATATATAAACAGCCCCTTATTCAGCAAATTGTGCATGTTGCCTTTGATCCCTTGGGGGTGAGGCAGCACTTTCCTTGTGATAGCAACTTCTAGTATAAATAATAATCTGACCAAAACAAGGGAGCACGCCAGAACTATTTGTGTAAATTCATACTAACCTTTTAATTACATGTAAATGTTTTCATTGGGCACCATTTTGAATGTTGAAAGCAGTTTATATTATTAGCTTATCGCAGGCACAATAATTTATGTTCATCTATGACATTAATTTATGTTACACGATGATAATCCGAAGGGCAACCGAGAAAGATCCGAAATTTGAAATACGGCGGAGAAAAAATAAAAAATAAAGAGGGAGTGAAACGGCCAAACATGTGATGTGGTATTCGCCAATGACAATGCGTATATCCAATTTCATTATCTGGCCATGCTCGTTGATTAAGACAAGAATTGTCAAATCTATCAAAACTTGAATTGATTTGCATCAATATTACAATATTAATAATTCATGAAGAAAATTCAAAAGAAATGAATGTATAATCAGTGTTTGTAAATCGTCCTCATTTACATAAACTTCAGCTTAGATTTTCTCGGCTTAGACAATGTTTATTTTTAAAATTACTTCACCAATGAACTCATATGATGGGTAGTCTTTTACTGTCGTTCCAATTGAAGTGTTCCTCAAATATTGATTCAATACATTACCTCAGGCTGACCAATTCATTTCATCAAGTTCCTCGAGATATTCATACACTTCCTGTGAAAGAGCCAATTCCAAGTATTTGATCATTTCTGGTCACTTCCTTTCTATTTATGATTGGTTAGTTGCACAAACAACAAAGGTGATTGGTGCATTTAAACTATTCAACAGGAAGTTTACAATTATACTAGGAAGTGTATGAATATTTTGAGGAACTTGATCAAATGAATTGGTCAGCCCGAGGTAATGTATTGAATCAATATTTGAGGAACACTTCAATTGGAACGACAGTAAGCATGTTAAAACATGAGCAGCCGATGTTTATCTGATATACAAACTCTCAACATTGTCCCCAATTTTAATAATATATTCTATTGTGACTCGCTTGAACTAATTATAGTAGGTCAAATATAAAACAACAGTAAATCCGAAAATAATAAAAAAAAAATTATTTTCGGAGTTACCGTTGTTTTATATTATATCAAAATACTCAGTGGTTCCCGTAATAATAGTAGGTCTCATTTTGTTTCCAGTTTGTTCCTAGCAACATCAAATGTTCCTAGCAACAATCAACCAGCATCAGTGGATAATAGTTCGGCCGTTTCACTCCCCTCTTTAATTTTTCCCCGCCGTATTTTAAATTTCGGATCTTTCTCGGTCGCCCTTCAGAGTATCATTGTGTAACATAAATTAATGTCAAAGATGAACATAAATTATCGCGTGTGCGATAGATAATATATACCACTTTCAACATTCAAAATGGCGCCCGATGAAAACATTTACACATAATTAATATTAAAAGTTAGTATAAATTTACACAAATAGTTCTGGCGTGCTCCCTTGACCAAAATAATGGTTTGACTTTGTCCCAGTCTCATGTAAACGGGATTCAACTGCAATTTGTTCCCAAAGCAGAACACATAATTTGGATGCGCAGTCAAAACTCACATTTCGTGTATTCAACCTGTAACAATAAAACGGGCTCCGAATAAACACAATATCTCAATCATGAAAACGAGGCTCTATAGCCATAGTGAAGACTATTGACAATACTGTTAATGGAAACATTATTTACTATAGTTCTTATATAAAACGGATTAATAGCCGAAGTAAACAATGTATGTAATTAAGCATCCTCACTATAAATGGCTAATGTACAAACCTTTGAAGTTTTTTATGACAAGTTTCTTCGCTCCGCTTGTTTTGGAGTTTGCTAGAGGTGAACGGTCATTCAAATGGTTATTTGTGAACGCAGAAAAGTTCGTCTTGCCTGGCGACACCGCCATTTTATTATTCTCCTCCTCGATAGTTTCCTCATCAACTTCCATATTAAGTCTCTTGCTTGGCAGTAGCTCACACAAATCGTGTTCACTTGACACACGACTGCCGTTCTTCACATTATTTGGTCGCTTGCGTTTTTTGTTGATATTCTCTTTGCCAGTTTCATATTCGTCCACCTCCTCACTCTTGGCTTGTTTGAACTGGTCAGTATCTCCAGGGGACAGCATTCATTCTACCGGGTCTCTCCTTGGCTTCTAACTATCTATCATGGATGAACGAAACAGAAGAAAATGCGCCAAAAGCGTATTTACCTTGAGATTGACTTCTTTTCTAATTTCTACCCACAAATTTAATACGAGCCGAGCTGGAAGTACAGGAAGAATGGCCCGAACTTTCAAGCCCGCAATTTACATGGTCAGCAAATAGAAATTTTAAATACAATACTTTATATAGCTCATATGTCTCATATGTTATAGCTGGGTGACTCGATCAGTCCCACTTTTGAGCGACTTTTTGCGTTTGGGGCAACTTTTTTCGGTTCGAGCAACTTCAAGCAACTTTTTCCTTTTTGAGCAACTTTTGAGCAACTTTTACTAGAGTTCAAACTTTACAGTATGAAATGTTTACATGTGATAGACAACGTTATAAACTTCATTTTCTTGCTTCCCACGAGCGAAAACCCTGGGCACGAGATTGCTTCATTTTCTGTGATATTTTTCTGATAAAATAATTTGGAAAATCAATTAAGTATGGCAATATGCTGTAACGCTGCTTATTTGCCTTGATATTCACTTGCTAGGGTTAATATCTGTATTCTCCCGAAAACAAAACGGCGGCTTATAAATGCTAATGTATTAATGTATCAGTCAATTCTAGCATTGCCCATCCCCCCCCGGGCAACCCCCGGGCATTTGCACTTTTCTTTTCTTTAAGTTGACAATTCCCGGCGGTCGGGCAGAAAAAGCGTGGCAATGCCCCGCCCCCGGGAAAAAAAAGATGACAAATGCCCGGCCCCAGGGCACACCGACTCATTTGTAGACCTCAAAACTTCCATAACATTATTAGCTTCCTTGTATAAGAGTTACAGCAGTCATCCCAACTTTTGAACATGAAAAACGTGCTCGTCGGTTCAGTGGTTAATATACAATCACGTAGCAAGATAAACAAGGATTGTACTATGAATTCTAGTGTTTTTATGCTAGATAAAGGTGATCTACAGTCCGATCTGCGCATGTGCACAAAGGAGCCCACTTTTTATGATACAAACAGTTTAACTATGTTTTGGGTTCTTGAAAAACCTGATTATTGTTTCTTGATCATTTATTATACTCTAGAAGCTTGAAAATATAAATAGTTGTCGAATAAAGCTCAATATTTTGGACACAAAAATGTAAACAAAGGCTTTGTTTACATATGGACTGTAGAGCATCTTTAATTAAACACAACTTTAATTAGTTTCTCATGTGCGATTGTGTGACGTTTTGTGAATGAAAATATCGACAAAATCCTCGTTTTTACCCCCGGATTCTTCGACGCCATTTTAATATAATAGCACGTGTTCGTCGCAGAAACGTCCGGTCGAGTCAAATGCCCGGCCGGTAAACAATTCCCCGCCCCCGGGACAACTTTGCAAGTACCAATGCCCGGCCCCCGGGCAAAAAAAGAGTACAAATGCCCGGGGTTGCCCGGGGGGATTGGCAATGCTAGAATTGACTGATGCATATTAAAGACTGAACTAGAAAGTGCTGTCAGTCGCGGGATCTCCAACTACGAGTTATTAATAATAAATTATTTTTCCGTGACTTTTTGTTTTGCCCTCAGTTAATTTCGTTTTGGCGTGAGTTAACTTTATTTTCCCGTGAGTTTATTTTGTTTTGCCGTTGCAGTTAATTTTATTTACTTATGGGCCACATTATTTTATAGCGCCTGGGGACGAGGCAGCTCGACAATTACCCAAACTCTTCCAAGCTTGGTGGGGTGGGATTAACCGATCACTTCATTTAGCCAATCAGATTACGAGCTTTTTTGGATCGTGATCTGATTGGTTAAAATGAAGGCGGACCAGAAACTAGACGGGTACCTACAAAATGGCGAAATAGCTGGTGTCCTGCTATCTCTTAACTCTTTTAGTCGAATTCAATTGATCGGTAAATTTATAGAAGATCTGTTTTAATTTATATCGAATGATATATTAGAAATAAAATTTTTAAAAAGAAAAGTGCCTCATCAGTCCATACTTCCCGACTCTGCTAGCCCGTATCGGTCAAGTCCGTCTCGTGCTAGCCGCTAGAACGCCGTATATAAGCTAGATTTCGGCTAAACTCAATGCTATCGTATACAGACTGTTTATCCCCTACAGTTGCGGATGCGTTGCTAGAAACCGAGCCTCCCCTAGTCGAATCAATCAAAACTGTTAGTGAAAATAACGTTGATCCTAACCAATCTCCCCCAGAGAATCATACTTGCGCCTGTAGATCTTATACTGCAAATCTAAAAGATGTCAAATTAGACATTGCAGTTATACAAAAACAAATAGAATCTATTAATCGGGTCATAGATTCCACAAACAATATTATAGAATCTATGAGTGTTATCTTGAGCCCCTCAGGCACGGAAAGCCATCAAATATCCTATGACCTTAGAGTTGAAACATTGCTCAGAGAGTTTTCGTCAATTTTAAACGAAAAAAACAGAGAATTGGAGAAACGAGATATTATTATTAATAGTCTTCAAGAAAAATTAATCAAGGTTGAAAGCGAATATCAAAATGTTGAATCCCTAGTTGCAGAACGCCATGAACAAGAACAATGCCAACACAATAGAAATCATAATTGGCTTATTCATAATGAGAGCAGAACTAATACTCAGGCGGATGATTCCACTATAAATATGCAAAATCAAGAAAATAGTGAAAATTTACATCTGGTCAATAACAAAGAAATTGTCCAAATTAAAACTTTTTCTGATAAGGATCAATCGCCCCCTACACGAAAGGTTAAATCCGGACTTAAAGATTCGGTCGAGCTGAAACTACAACCTGTGCCACACGAACCACCTACCTCTAGATCTAATGAATGCTCTCAACAGGTTTTTCTGCCCTTAATGAGTAGCATACCTACAGGTCTGCTACAGTTGAGTAAACAACAGCCGCAAAGTTCCTATAAGGACATAGCTAACAGCGCACCTGAAGATACTGGTGAAGGGAAAATGCAATCTAAAGCTACTAAGGACGATCGAATGTTATTTCCACCTTTCAAACTCAGCTCACACCAACCGCAACCACGACGTCCACACCCGCATATAGATTATTCTCGAACTCGCCCTCGTACTAGACCAGCTCAAACACGAGACCGGCATAATTCCCGGGTTACTACCCCACAATGGCACCTCAGACAGGCAAATTTTCGGAAGAGCCGCTTAAAGCACAGACCCCCTGGCTGGAAGGAATTTCTTGTCTTAGTCAGCCAAATAACCAGTACGCAATAATGAAGGTGAATAAGATCCCTGTGAGAATTACATCTAATCGAACACGTAATTGTATATCAAGGCACAATGTCCCTAATTCACTCACAAATAACTCTAATCTAATTTAAATAAAACCTGAAATGAATGCATCTGGTCAAAATAAGCATACAACTACGTCCAAAATCAGTTCTATTCCAGATCCAACTACGACATCAACCCAAATGCTGCAAAAACCAATCCCCGTGATTGCTTCACAATATCGTAAACATAAAACGTTTTACAAAGGGGCAAATTTAGCAAATTGCATTAAAATTAAACCTGATAGTGTTCAAAAAAACTCCTCAAAATTCCTTCAAGTTGGTTGTAGTCGGGAATTTGTTCCTAATCTTTTACTAACTAATGTGATGTCACTGGTCCCCAAAATGGACGAATTAGAACATGTTACAAAGCGAAACAATGCAGATCTAATTTTTATTAGTGAAACGTGGCTGAAAAGTTCCGTACCCGATGAAGTAATTGAAATCAATGGCTATAGAGTCTTCCGACGAGACAGAATAGGAAAGGAACATGGCGGGGTATGTATATATATAAAAGCTTCTTATGTAGCGAATGTTATCCCCGATATACCAAATGAAAATGAATGTGAAGTGCTGTGGGTCAAAATCAACCCATGTAGGTTACCAAGAGGCTTTTCAACACTCGTCGCAGCAGTTTTATACCACCCACCCACTGCAAATAAGTCAGATATGCTAGAATACTTACAGTCATCATTAGAGTTATTGGAAACCAGATATCCTAACTGCGGCTTAATCTTGGCAGGAGATTTTAATAAACTACCTATAAGACATATCAGCCATCAATTTCAACTCATGCAGATTGTAAATTTTAATACTAGAGGAACAAGTAAATTAGACTTAATTTTGACAAATTTGGCCAACTTCTACGAAGAGCCTTTAAGTACTCCTCCACTTGGTTTATCGGACCACCTTACTGTTGTTGCCTTTTCTAAAGAAAAAATTCGTGGTAACCAGTCTAAAGAAACTATTATTAACGTGCGGGACAAGAGGCCTAGCAGCATCCGTCGCCTAGGAAGATTTTTATGCGAAGTGCCATGGGACATAGTGGTTAATCCAAACCAGTCTTGTGATCAAAACCTGAATAACTTTACTGACGTCATAAAGTATGGACTTAATACCCTAATGCCACTGAAGACTGTGAAGGTTCGTCAAAATGATCAACCTTGGATGAACAGCAACCTGAAACGTTTGATTAAAAAAAGACAAAAGGCTCTTGCGCAGAACAAACATGCTTTATATAAACAGTTAAGGAATAAAGTAAATCGATCTAGGAAAAACTGCCGCAAATTATATTATGAAGCTAAGGTGAAAGAACTCAAACACACTAAACCTAAAGATTGGTGGAAGGAGGTGAAACGTCTCTGTGGTCATCAACAAAAGTCGACGAGTAATATCTTTGCAAACGTGCAACAAGACACACAAGACCTCGATTCACTTAGTAACTTGATAAATGACTGTTTCTTGGAACCTATGTGCGACTACCAGCCACTATCTGATAGTACCATTACCATGACCGATAATAATAGTATAATTTGTTTGACTGAAGAAGTTTTTAAATCGTTAAATGGTGTTAAGCTGGGAAAATCCAGTGGCCCAGATTGCCTGTCTTAAAGAAGTTTGCAGTTATTCTAGCAATGCCAATCTCAATAATTATAAACACATCATTTAAGGAAAATCGAGTGCCTGCCTGCTGGAAAATGGCTAACATCTGCCCAATCCCAAAAGTTAAACAGGTGATGGATGTTAATAAAGATCTTAGACCTATATCTCTTACCTCAACACATTTTTCACCCATTAACTCAAAATACGATTAATAAAGCTTTCAAATCTCGTGCGCAAGCTATTTTTAGTTTGCTGGAAAAAACACACACCCCTGGTTTACAAAATTTGAGTTCGAGAAATTTTTTTTATTATTCTACATTATAAGTACCCGAAGAAACTATATACACCAAAAACTGGATACTAGCAGCTGTTTTGCGAAATTGAGAGCAATTTCAAATCTGTTCAGTTTTTTTTATACACCCTGTAGAGCAAGGCTGCTAAGATGAATTGACGTTTGTGTGCAATTGTTATTCAAAGATTTTTGCAGAAAGGAAATATGCGTGCATGTCGCCTAGATTCCTTACGGTAATTACCAAATATAAGGACAGTGTCAAAGTCTGGGTATAAACTTTTGAACAGTGATCCGTAACCTTCTATACTATTAAGATATGCTGCCTTAGCTGTAATATATGGATATTTTTAGTAACTGTTCAAGATTACAAAGCAGAAAACAACGACAATTCTAACACACCACCAGAGTGAACATCCGGGAGGGGTGAGAGTACGGGTGAGAGTACGGTCAATAATTTTCCTTGAATGCCTATCACCTTTGTTGGAAACTCGATAACCAACATTATGCCGAAGGTGTGCATGGGCATTTAAATTGGCTGGAAACACTTTCAATCATGGGAAACTGGTGTCTAATCTAGTACTTTGTGTGGTTCGTTTTCGCGTGAAAATTGCGTGTGACAACAGTCTACAACATAAATATAGTTTTCAAAGACGAAGTAAAATATCGACAACAAATGAAGCGAATTTCGGAATTGCAAATCTTTATAAAATCCCTGTTTATTGTATAATAAAATCCCTATACTTATGATTAAAGTAAGCAATTTTATAAAAAAGTTCAAACTCGAGATATGTTTTTGCATATGGAACAGTAAATATGTTTGGAGCAGTTAGTCAACAGCAAAAGAGTTTTAGTAGTGAAACTGTTCTCATTTTCTTGAGCAACAGCATGAAAACACTGCAAAAGCGCAAGTACAAAAAAATAGGTACGCTAAGCGTACATGTATCTGCGCAAAGAAATTGCATCGTTCCTATGAAAAAAATTTCGTGCACAATTATTGAGTAAACATTTATATATTTTTGAAGTGACTATACAGCCGGCAGCCGGCTATTTAGTAAACTGCTGGCTATACAGCCGGCTATTTAGTAAAATGCTGGCTATACAGTAGTCTCCTTCGCAAGCGCTCTTTGTGTCGAGGTTACTCCACACAAGTGGCTGCTCACCCGAGCACAACATTCCATTCCCTAGTCTTGCGTTAGCCAATCAGGTTTAGCGACATAAAAGTCTAAATAAATTTAGCAACATAATGTATGACCAAGGTCATAAGGTGGAAAAAAGGTTTAAAAAATTATTTAAGAAAAAAATATGCTAAATCAGACAAAACACAACCCGGACTGCGTTTCACTTTCCGCACGCAGCGCCTTTACTGTATACGCTAATGGCAAGCTTGGTAAAAGATAGCAGAAACAAAAGTTTTATATTTAACTATAGTCACTATATAGCCGACAATTCACTATTTACCCAGCTGTATTGTCACTTTGTTTAAATTTGATGATATGATAAAGAATGCTCAGATTGCAGCCTCTTTTCTACCACAATCAATAAAATTTACTATTTTACAAGGAAGACATGCACATACTAGATAACTATAAAAAATATTAAAAAATTATACGAGGGAAAGTTCAAAGATTGCTAAAAAAGTTTCTCTTAAATGTAGAAATACTAGTAGATAGTTTTATCTTTCTATCCAAATTGTTCCAGTCTGTTATGGCCAATGTCTGTATTCATGTATGCTCCACATAAAAATGAAAAAATACAATACAATACAATCTGTAAATACATCTTATTAACTTTAACTCAACTTATGAAGCAATCCTATAATTATAAGATGTCCCGTGACTAATGCACCATATAACAAAATTTTAACGTAACATAATAATTCTAAAATCTAAATGATGTGACTATGAATGTATACCATAACAAAATAATTATGAATATATAGGAATAAAAGTACCAATATTATAAAAATAAAACCATCGATATTATTAAAAAAACATGCACGGTCACTCACGAAAAAGCTTTACGATGTTGCTTTGGGCAATCTTCTAGGATATAACAATCGGACAATTTAGCAGTCAGCCAAAGTCAAACCTCGAGTCAAACAAACAGTTTCTCTTCACCCTGTAGAAAGCCGCCATCTTTGTTTTACGGCCTGTTCGCAGGCGTACAAGCCCTAATTAGTCGACCTGAGTGTTTAACGCACGCACGCGCACACACCCACAACTCGATAGCATAGTATCTAGCGCTACGCGCAGATACAAAAACCCCAAAAGTTGTATATTCCATACATATCATAGTCTGACACAGTTCTGTCTTTTTTCTCGGAGTTATCACTTTATCACTCACTCAGTATATCAGTACAGATAAGACTTTAATTTCTTAACCTGAATAAACTAAGCCTGAATGCGATTAAAACTAAATGTATGTTTATGGCATCCAGGCAAAAATTAAGTACTATTCCTGAAGAACCTAATATTGCTATCGCCAGAAACACAATTGAAAGAGTTAGATCTTATAAGTGTTTAGGTTTAAAACTGGACGAGAGTTTGACATGGGAGCATCATGTTTCTACTATAATCTCCAAAGTCTCCAAGGTGATTGGAGTTCTACGAAGACTAAAACCATTGCTCCCACAGTCAACTCTTGTCATGCCAGAGCACACTCTTGTCTTAGCACAGCCTTACTTTGATTATTGTAGTATTGTCTGGGATAGCCTAGGTAAGGGTCTTGGACAAAGGTTACAGCGATTACAGAATAGGGCTGCAAGAATTATTACTGAATCTGATTATAACATCCGGTCATCAGATATTTTAACATCATTGAATTGGACCAACCTTGAAACCAGACTTACCCAACAGTTCAAAACTTTTATGTACAAAACTGTTAATAATATGGTTCCTAGTTATTTGTCTGGAAAATTTACTTCCACGTCAATGATACACGAACATAGTTTGCGTGGATCTAATCATAAACTTTTTGTACCAAGACCCTTAACGGAATCCTTGAAGAAAAGTTTTTCCTATAGAGGAGCTAGCCTATGGAATGACATACCCGTCGAAACAGCAACTGGGTGTGACAGCAACTGGGTGTGAAGAGCCAAGAAACGAAGCTCTTGGGAGTACCTTGGAACAAGACCAACGACAAGATCGTAGTTGCATTTCCTTGCAGTGGTAAAGAAGTCGCAACCAAACGAACAGTGTTAAGCGAGATCGCGTCAATATTTGATCCGCTGGGGTTAGTTTCGCCAGTCAGCTTGGTTGCCATGGTTGCTTTATATTGGATTAATGGTCGTGGGAATTACGAACAATTTGTCGCAAATCGAGTGAAGCTAATCAGAGAGAAAAGCTACATCACATGGAAAACATGTTGGAACTAAAGAGAATCCTGCAGACATCGGAAGCAGAGCTGTCAAGGAAATCAGCTGTCTACGACATGGCTCGAAGGGCCGGAGTGGCTATCTAATCCTGACGAATGGCCGGGCGAAGTCGCAATCGAAGCAACCAACGAGACAGAAACTGAGGCAAAACTAAGTGGAGAAATCTTCAAAGCCGTAATCCAGCAGGAAGAAGACGAGTTCCTGGACGTCCTAAAGAAGTATACCTTCTGGAAAACTATGATAATCACGGCATGGGTAATCAGGTTCCTTCAAAATCTCAAATCGAACCAAATACGCAAAGAAGAACCTCTCACAACTGAAGAGATTCAGCAGCAGATAAATTGGTGGCTGAAACGAGAGCAATCGCGCTATGAAGATTCAGATCAAATTCGCGAAGATAAACAACGTCTTAACCTCAAGAAGAATGAACGAGGACTGTTGGAGTGCCAAGGAAGGATCCAAGGGGAATAACCCATCTACATTCCACCAGTCAAGTTTAGCCGAGAAATTAGTGATGCATGAACATCAACGCACACTCCACGGTGGAGTGAGTATGACTATGTCCGCAGTAAGAGATAAATACTGGATACCACGGCTGAGAAGGCTGACAAAGAAGGTACGAAGTAGCTGCAACGGATGCAAAAGATTCCAAACAACAGCGTTCACGAAGCCACCGACTGGCAACCTCCCAAGAGATCGCACAGAAACCATTCCAAGTGGTAGGAGTGGATTATGCAGGACCATTCATGCACAAGGAAAGAGCAGACAAAGAGGGGAAAGCCTACCTCCTCCTCATCGGATGCAGTTTAACCAGGGCAGTTCATTTAGAAGTCCTACCAGATCTATCGACGGGAGAGTTTATGTATAGCTTCAAGAGGTTCATCGCTAGGCGGGAAAAACCGGACAAAGTCTACTCGGACAATGCCAAAACATTGTAGCAGCAGCAGCAAAGCGTGTGCGCAAGATTTCAAAAGATGACCAGATTAACGATTACCTAGCAAAGAACAACATCAAATGGCAATTTAATTTGAGTAAGGCCCCATGGTGGGGTGGACAGTACGAGAGGGTAATCGGTTTAGTCAAACAAGCATTCTACAAGGTGGTCGGACGATCAAGTCTCACATGGAAGGAGCTGCAAGAAGTGATTCTCGACGTGGAAATCCGTCTCAACAACCCACTGGCCTATGTCGAGGACGATCCTGAACTACCAGTCCTAACTCCGAATGTCATGATAACGGGACGATTCTATTCTAGCAGTTGAAGATGAAGAATTATTGAAGAAGAGGAAATGAGGAAACGAGCACATTCTAAAGTGCAAGCAGGCGATATGGAAAAGATGGACGGGGAAGTACTTAAGAGCTTTACGAGAGTGCCACAATCTCAAGTACGAAGAAAAAGAAAGGATTCCAAAGGTAGACGACGTGGTGCTCATCAAAGATGA